CTTTATTTATTAGTATTAGGATTTCAAAACAACCACAAAAATTCAAAGTGTAATAAGCCATATTGTCTTGCTTTGAACCAAATGTATTTAATAAGTGAAAAGCTCTGTAAATTCTCTCCTGCAAGAGGGTATGTTGTCAGTTCACATTTTAAAAAGTGCCCCTTATCATTTGGAGGTTCCTTGAGTGCTTCCCTTTTGATTCTATTATTTAGGCTACTGTTCACTGAAGGATAGAAGTCAGCACTGTTAACTATTAAAAAGCAGGCCTGAAATTTCCCTAATAAAATTGCGAAAAATGAATAATTTGTCTTTATGGAAAAGCCTCACGTATCACTGACTGCTTCCTTGACTCAAATGTTGTTCCTGTATCTCCACATGCAGCAAGGATTCACTTCCCTGAAGGTGGAGGAGAACGAGTCGGGCTCCATCATTCATTTGGTAAGTCATGTTTTGCTTTGGGATATTTTTATCTGTCCCCGTGGTTTTATGCGCACCGCTTAATTTAGCAAAATTTGATCATTTTTTGCATAATTTCAGATTGTTTTCCTTTATCATTCTTTGTTAAAATTAACAGAATCGCATAATTTCAAAATTTTTCTTGCTTAAAACAACAGGGACAATTTTATCTTAGACTTAAAGGTGGAATCTTTAACTGGGTATATTCTTATATTCCATAAAGACTACATGTATTATGTATTGGCTTTAGCTACCCAGTGCTAAACTGATTCAGCCCGCAACGCCACTCACAGCGGCTGACTGTCTCCTGTGTTTTGACGCCACTCACAGCGGCTGACTGTCTCCTGTGTTTTGACGTCACTCACAGCGGCTGACTGTCTCCTGTGTTTTGACGCCACTCACAGCGGCTGACTGTCTCCTGTGTTTTGACGTCACTCACAGCGGCTGACTGTCTCCTGTGTTTTGACATCACTCAGAGCGGCTCTTTTCTTCGCCTCTTTCCCCTCGTCTTTTTTCCCCCGACTGCTTACATTTCAACCCTTTTTTCTGGTTTCATTGAATCGTATTTTGTATTCTGAACATTTCTGTATGCCACACATAGGGTTTTATCAAATTAAGATATTTCTTTATTAATTTTGTGTGAGGCCACCCTCGGGGTCACGAAGCAGTCACAAATTATTTGCGTCCGGAGTCAAAATTAACTGCGAGTTGAATCAGTTCATTTCAAGCAACTTATAAATCAAGCCAAACTTGCCCAAAATAGCATTGGAATGGATTGTTGAAAATAATTGGATGTCCACATATTTCTGCCTTAACCCCTTCGCGACCTAGATCTACGACGTATGCCATTCGTCATATTCTTACACGGTGAACGAGCCAAGATGCTGCTGTGAGGTACGGCGTTCGTCATGCCTTGCAAAGTGCAAGGACCATGATGACGAACGCCGTTCGTCACAGGTTGTCTTCTGCATACTGCTTCAATTAGCTGCGTTTCGAAAAACTAATCACAGATTCTTATTCAGGAATATTTTTTCTGCACAAAGAAATCTTTTCCCTTTTAGTTTTAGACATCATAGTATTTGTAAAACGGGTCTAATTATAGGTCTTATTTCGGATCTCAAGGATAAGACTAAGAGTAAGGCACAGGGCAATTTTGAAGCCGAAATTTCTAAGTAAAAAATTGTGTGTTGTTATTTGATGTGCAATACTTTGTACTCATTATTACATGTCATGTATACACTAGCTGTTTGTAGGACAGAAAAAAATAGAAAATGTACAGTATATCAGTACAGTATGTCAGACTAATGACACCTTCCCAACAATATCACTATCATTACAGTGTGTCCGACTAATGACACCTTCCCAACAATATCAGTACAGTTTGTCCGACTAATGACACCTTCCCAACAATATCAGTACAGTATGTACAACCAATGGCACCTTCCCAACACCCATTTCTGTAGGACAAAAGAAAAAAGAAAATGGATAGTATATCAGTACAGTACATGTATGTCCAAGCAATGACACCTTCCCAACACAGTACAGTACAGTATGTCCGACTAATGACACCTTCCCAACAATATCAGTACAGTATGTCCGACTTATGACACCTTCCCAACACCCATTTTTTTCCCCTTCTGCCGGTCCCCAGATGAAGGAAGACTCTCTGATCCAGGTGGACGGGAGCTCCACACACATCATCTGTGACAGCGAGGATGTCAGACTCCGGCTCAGGGACGTCATGCTCAAGTGTCTCAAGCAACTCTGATGGAGATCTGCTTCCCCGCTCAACACACACACGCGTGCCCACACACGCCCACACAGACATACACACACACACACATCATCTGTGACAGCGAGGATGTCAGACTCCGGCTCAGGCACGTCATTTAAGTGTCTCAAGCAGCTCTGATGGAGATCTGCTTCCCCGCTCAACACACACACACACACAAACATACACGCACATCCCTCCCTTCCCCTCTCACAAGGACCTGCTGTTCTATTGCCGACTAACGAGGAATATGCATCGGGGGCTGTCTGGTTTGACTGTACTGTATGTATAGAAGAAGTGCAGTGGGGGAATGGGAAGTGGTCATTTGTACAGGTGATCTGATTGTCTTGGACAGTTGGCAATTGAATTTGAGGTTAGAAGTTCGATTGTGTAACCCTCCAACTCCTTTATGCACCACAACAGTCATAGCAGGTCATTTCCTGTTGCCGTACTGAGAGATGTAATTATCCAAAGTGACTCCCAACCCAGATCATGTTGCACACTAGGTGCAGTTCAAATTCAAAATGCGTGGGGGGGGGAGCGCGCCTGTAGGTTACTTTTACCTTGCCAGAATGAGAGAGAATGTGTATGGATGTGCAAAATGGCAAATGAATGTTCTTGTAATTTCTATTGTCACCTTACTCATTTTCATTTTGTTAATATGAAATAAATCACTATTGTTACCGGAAGCACTTGTTTTCTACCTTGTCAATTTTCTGTGCAAAAAAAAAAGCTGAATACTGTTTATAATACTATACACTATATATTGAAATCTCATACCGCCTGTCATCTTGACTAGTGGCATTAGTAATTTAGTAGACTGGTACTAGTGGTACATAGTACATACTATTGGTACTGGTAATACATGTAGTAGTAAAGTGATTGAGACTAGACTAGAGACCAGAGGAGACAAAGCGTGGCCAGTCTTGATGAAATGAATGTGGTAGAAGTAGAATGTAATGTGTCAGTCAATGGCCCCCTAGATAGTTAGTTAAGTTTTAAGTAGTAGACCATACGTTTTTTCAAAACCAGATTCTGGTCCATTCTGATTTGAGCGTTGAAACTTCATAATACGAACTCCTCACACTAGGCGCCGCCAACCTTTACTGCTGTCAGTCAGTGGGCTGATGGCGACGCCCACCTTTACTGCTGTCAGTCAGTGGGCTGATGGCGACGCCAAATATTTTTAACTCAGGCCAAATTGGTGCAGCCCCTTTGAAGTTCAAGATTCTACTTCAAAGTAAAGTGTGTACCTCTGACGGCCAATTCACTGGTGCTTTGTTCAGTTTTAGTAAGAGTTTTAGTTTTACTGCGCTCGTAACACAGATTTATCAGTCCAATGACCTAATAAAGGTTGGCAGGCGCCCGTGGTGAGGCTTTTGTATTGTGACTAGTTGTACAAGTACAAGCAAAATGAACGGAAAGAACAAAGAGGAAAGGAGAGGATTAGATTAGAATGTACAAGTACTTGTGGCACTCTCTAGCCACCTCCTGCATCATTAGAATTAGATGCTTGTAACACAGGTGCACATAGGCCTATTTTTTATCACTGGGAACTGTGACAATCATCTGCAATACCACACAGGAGAATAGTATAAAAAACAGCAGTATTAGCAAGCAGCTGTGAGCCAATATAATTCGATCATTTAGTTGAGTAGGCGGGCTTCCAACCCTACCTCCCACTCCAGGACAACTCGGGCAGAAGGGAAAGCATCCCAGCAGAAGAAAGACATGCTCAATAAGAAAGTTCTCCCCACTCAGGAACCAAACTCGGGGTCTCCTGTGTATGACAGCAAGCACCTAAAACTAAATTAACTACTACACCACAGACACCAGTGGTCTACTGCAAGACAGGAGGTTCGGGTCCTTTTTCAAAGGTGGCAGAATTTTTTTTTTCATCTCAACTCAGTCTCAGCCAAGTGTCCTCACAGACAGAGCAAAATTCTCCGTCCTGGAATTTATCGACCTACATTGTGTCAAGTAAAAAAAAAAATTTTTTAAAAACCTACAAAAATCCACATCCTTACAAGAAGTAGTAGTAGTAGTCAGGACTGCTTATTTCACAGATTACTTATTCACGAAGTCAACCCAACCTTGTGGGGGTTTTTTAGTGTGAAAAATAACACACATCCACTCTGGTCATACAGTGCAGGCAAAAAGTGGGGTCCAGAAGGAAAATAAAAATTGGTCTCATCAAAGACAACCTAATCATAACACATAATATGGTCATGTTTTTTACTTTTAAGCTCAAGGGGGCTATCACGAAAAATGCTGTTTTGAGAAAATCGAAGGTTAAGTTTTTGCCCCTGGTTCAATTTCTTTAAAAAAACAAGGAGCGTTTTCTCTAACCAAACAAATATACACACCAATGAAACTTCTATAGATGTATGGCAACGTTTTGGTGACTGTAAAGATTTCTGGAAACCCCCAAAATCTGGGTCAGCACGCTTGTCCTTAAAAAAGCGACAATATATCCTCATCGAGTTCTGGAGGTAGACTTTGTCTATGCATGATATATATGCAGATGCTGTATAAAAGTACCAGTGCACTTGGCATGTGACTGACACACAACAAAACGTCTTCATGTAATATTCTAGGCCTACTTGTGACATACCACAAGGGTTCATCCAAGGGAACAAAACCCATTCACACTTGCAACAAAATTAGGTCACGTAAGTGCCAAAGATTAGACGTGTCACTAGAGAGCAACAAACACAAAAAAAGGGAGAAGAAAGGACCGCAGATGTTTGATTGGAAAGGAGCAAAGCACACCACAGAGCATCCGCCAACAATTTTCGATCGGGTACCAATCAATGCATGTTTACACGCATGCCTAAAATTGTACACCATTCAAGACCACTGTATTCCTTGGCAGGTAGGCCTATATTTCATACGATAGCAACTCCATATCTAGAAGAGGCTTGTGGGTACCACCGTGCAAAGAATATTGTCAATACAGTTAACACATTACACCCTAACTCGCCCGGGATCGCCCGTGAATTCCCTTACGCGCTCCACCCTGACTCGCCCGGAACCGCCCCCGCCGACCCAGCGTCTTTAGAAATGAAAGTCTCGCCTTGTCTAGGGCCGGGATTTAGATTTGCATAGTATAGCAAAAAGTTTCTTCTTTCGTTTGATACCGAAAAATTTTTCGGGTCAG